AATATTTGTAAAGCTATTACCTAAGGATATCGATATATACGTGACCACAGCTGCCAGTCCTGATGAGGAAAGTTATTTCTGTTGCTACGATGAAAAGCGTGATAGTTATGTGGGTATGTATTATATATTATTATTATTATTATCAAATATAAAATTACCCTGCTCATTATTGACAAAATTCTGTACAGGGTCATCGTATAGTAATTTTTGGATCAAAAATACCGAGACCTTTGACCTACAGAAGGAGACATTACAAGAACAGTACGAATACATTAAGACTAATTCGTACGATACTGTCGATGCTAAACAACATTATTATGAACACACACAACAGTATGGCGACATGGAAATGGCCAAGTTACCTGTCTCACAATTTTTAGGTTTATTAATTGATATTTTTATTTATTTTAGTCAATATAAATGTATAATGAAATTATTTTATCATAAAGGTTATAAAACTTCGCCGACAAATCCCAACAATATTAATACAATTAGTGGATTTGGAAAGGGATGTGATGTGGTGTCCAAACCCGACGTGGCCATACATTTGTTACAAAAACGCATTAACAATGCTAGTGATGTGTCAGAGAAATTACGGTAACAATTGAGATTTTATTTATTATAAGTTGTAATAAATATTTTTTGTTAGATATGTGAAAGAGTTGGAGATTATATTAAAAGGTCGCGAATACGTGGATAACGTGTTGTATGAATACGTGAATAGTATTCAACACTTAATACCAAACATCGGCACCAATGCTATAATCGATACGAAACATGAGCTCAATAATAGGCACTGTTATCGACAACTGGTCGACACCTTCCATCAAAACTGCTTTAATTTGAGCCAGGTATATTAAATAATTGTTGACTTTTAATTTATTCATAGATAATGACTTATTTTTATTTAATTCACAGAATCCATACGTTTTAACAAAAATGCAAATATTTGTGAATATTTGCGAACAAATGCGTGACTCGAGTGATGCGGACATTGCTGTCAACCGATTGACACAACACTGCGATAGAAATATTAATCACAAAAGTAACCAAAATATTGTGTAAATAATTTACTAAACTGTAAATTATTAGAGAAATTATGAATTAAAATTATAGAGAGAAACTAAAAAATGTTAAATTGATTTTTTAGCTTTTTAATTCATTAAATGATTTCATACAAAATGTTCATGATATAAAATATAACTTAAGTATAATTAATATAATAAATATTTTATTAATTTCATAATGTGTTATAAATTACTTTATAAGTTACACAACGTGTATAAAAACACAATTCTGGACTAGGTTAGATTAATGTTATAATATTCACTGTTTTGTCACTGTTAGTGTGACCCGGATTACATTATATGCGCATCGTAAATCTATGATATACAATTTGTAACAAGTAATTAATAAAATTATCAATGTATTAATTTAATATTGATATCTATACATCAACTTAAATTTTAGAGTTAATTGAATATATAAATATATTATTAAACTGCTAAATGACAACATTGATAATCCCACCCACATACCAATAATACCACTAATGTTATAGTATAGGTCATAATAATCCATGGCCAAGTGTTCAGTAATTTGTGGTTCATAGTAATGGGAAGGTATTAAATTGATCCGGGTATAATTGAGGTTAGACCTGATTTTAAACACATTTGCTTGGATCATATTATTTATGCAAAATTGTTTATATGTATCCGAATTTTCACATTTTAATTGTATTTCACTCACAATAGTCTCGTTCACAGAATCCGTATAATTAACGCAGAATTTATACCCAGAATATTGCAAATGCTGTTCAATACTGATCTCATACTCGACGCCCATTAGTGGCAGACAATTGAATGTATGGTTAAGCTCACGAACCATACAATGAACACTATTTTTATATAAAAAATTGTTTTTATAAAACAGCCGCTCATCCCATTCCCCGTCATTTTCTCGGCACTGAAACGTACGGCGATTTAGCTGTCGATAGGATGTCGTACTGAACCGGATATGCGTTTCGCTGTACTTTTCAGTGATTGTCATTATTGGCGATTCCGTGGATTCTATGGCGAGAACCACGTCTTCATCCAAACCACGGCTCCTATACGTCAACACAATTCTCTCCAATCGGCTGTCCATTAGTCGCGATTTAAATGTTGCCATAAATTCATTGCTTGTGTTTGCAAAATAAACTTGCTCCAAAGTTACAACTAGGTCAGTTTTGATAAATACTATGCGATTTTCATGCTCAGGACATTTTAATCTTGGTGAATTAGTAAATATAATATAACAGTCAATCGCTTTATAGTCAAACATTATGGTGCAATATAAAGTTAAATTGGTCGTGGACAATAGTTTGCAACTTAAGTTTGAATAAAATTTATCTCTCGATCCATTTATTGCATTCGTTACGGTTAGTAATTGTTGAAAATATGCTGGATAATTAATTGACAATGCTATTTTATCACTCACAGTTGGAATTATAGATACAATAACCTGAGGCACACTTATACTTGACATTATATGCAATGTAAATTTAATATTATTTTTGAGATAATCTTGATAGACATTATTAATTTGATAAAACATTAACAAGGTGCATACAATAAGTGTGATACATTTAATAAATTTTGCAAAAGGTTTAAATTTATTATAATTAATTTTCCATCTCTTAACGCGTTTTAATCTCCAAATAATAACTCTTATGATATCCATAGTTTTCGTGACAGTTGTATAGACACTGAATCCCATCCACATCCCCATCAGTCCACCCATTGTTGACAAATACACTATTAAATCCATTTTTGGGCTATAATTCCAAACAATTTTAATCATTTCGGAATAGTTATAAATAATAAAAGTCTTATTTTGACTTATTATATTACTAAAATAATAAACAAAAACATTTAGTAAATAATTATTGCACTCAATTTTGCACACTTTATTCAATAATTTATAACTTGGTTTAACTACACAATTATTAATTGTATCGTTAATTATTAATTGACTTTCATTTCTATACGTCTCTGACACCCAGTAGTGATTATATCCACACTTTTTGCGCTCAATTTGTTTCATCACTTCTAACATACAGTCGGCTCTGGATTTATAGCCACCCCTTCCGGGCATACGAGTGCTCTCGTAGTCGTAACAATCTGTCCGATAGGGTCGGGGTAATAGTATTTGCATGTCTGTGCTCACATCTAATTTGTATGTCACAAATTTCTTATCCAACCTGGACATTTTAGTAAAGTGTGAGGGGTTATATGGTAAGTGTAATCCAACCGTTGCCCCATTTATAATATGATTGTATTCTACGGTAACACTTGAATAGATATCTATTAATAAATGTGTCCGATTATTATATTCATTTAAATATGTAAAACATATGTCTGAACCGTATGTATAACTATAATAAACGAGTGCTAATTGATCGCAATCATACTTCATGTATGAATATATTTTACAATCAATATGAATATACTCGAGATATTCTTGAAATGAATTATTTTTATAAACAGAATATTCTTTATTTATACAAACAGTTAGAGAATAGTTTTGATAATAATTCCCAGACTTGCGGTCAAACTTCAAATCAGTGTTCACTTCGTACTCCAAGTAATTGACTGTTTGGTCGCATATTTGATACACAAACCCCGATATTATGAATAACTTAAATAGGAGTTTATAATTGAAATAATATTTTCGTATAAATGAAATCATTTTAAAAAAACTTAATTTTAATATAATTATGTTGAAAGTAAATTCCAATAATGTATTAAAGATTTTAACTTACAAATGTTTTCTATAAGCTGTTTTTACAATACATTCATACTAATAATAATAAATATTATAATTTATTTAATAATAATGAACTATATAGTATAATAAAATTATTCTATGCAATATGAAAAAATAATATTAATTAGTTTTCATTATATTAAAAAGATTTATTTTACATATTATATAAATGAAAATTTTAATGTGAATATTAATAATTTTTCGCTTTTTGAGTAAAAATATTTATCAATTGAAAATAATTAACTTTACAAATTAGTTATCTGTTTTAAATAAATTTGAATATTAAAATTTTAGGTTTACCATAGTAACATGTTTTTTAACAAACAAATTATAATTAAAAATTAATATTTCTAAATTAAATAAGTTGCTATAAATATTGTAATGTTGTAGCCCTAAATTTACTCACCTCCGCATAAACGGTCACCGGTTTTTACGTTATCATCTTTTTTATTAATATATCAAGGTCCTGTACCGTTTCTATAAGATTGTCCCCCAAAATAAAAATTAATTATTAAATGTGAGAATTGTAACACTTTAATATACGCTTGAATTTATTGTATTTATTATTTTACCACAAAAATATCATAAAATATTTTTTAAAATAATAAATATTATTATAATATAACAAATTATCTTTTATATTATTAATAAATATTATAATAAGTTAGATTGATTTTATACGTGTTATTATAAAAAAAATTCAATATAATTAATTGATAATATAACGTTCCAAATAAACGTTAATATTATATAATGTTCCAGAAAAATAATTACTAATACAATATAAATTATTAATTTATTTTGTTAAAATTTAGACAACACAATAATAACATTAATATTTAAGTTTGCATAGAGCGTAATACGAATATCGGAAACTTGACCACGGTATTATGACCATACCACTTTCCCATAGATTATCGGACTCGGATATTCTTAATATAGCATGGCTAAACTATATAATCATGTTGGTTTTAACTAGATAAGTGTTGTACAGAAAATAACACTCCATTGTAAGGTGCAAATTAATTTCTAATAATAATTATTATTTATTTATCCATGCTTATATATTATACAATTTATATAATTTATATAGTATAATATACTATTAATACTATGTTTAATACTCGAACGTATGTGTAGGCTCACTGAAACCGGTAATGCTGGGGGTGTCGAGGGGTGTTCATCAGTCTAATAACAGCCCCCGTTTGGGGTTCGACATGAGCCCCGGTCATGTGGGGACTATAGGTGTGTTTTTGGTGGACGTCCCGGTGCTTGACGTGGTGGTAGGCGTGGGATGGGTCCCAGTGTTGCCACAAATGGTTTATTTGTATACGTCCACCAAAAACACACCTATCGTCCGCATATGACCAGGTGGTCATGTCGAACGCCAAACGGGGGTTCTCATGACGTTTCCATCAGTCGGGGTTTGGTCGGGACGGCCCCCGGTGTCAGTTCAGTCACTCACAGGACCAGTCGGTGTCCATACCGCGCACCTGTTGCTGGTATCACCCCCACAGCCACTGTATGTATGCCGACAACTACCGGTTCGTGCACTCAGACCCACACATCATACCGGCCCACAAACGACTAACCATAAGATTTTTAAGTTTTTGGTGTCATTTGATGCCTGTGCCCTACTATCCCATAAAAATTTCTAATTATTATTATTATATAATTATTAATTTTGATTATTAATAAAATCAAATTAAGCTAATATGCCTTGCTTAGATAAACGATGTTATTGTTCATCAAATTATATATTTTCATGGAATTGGTAGATAAATTTACTTTGGTTAAATTGTTTATCTAACAAAAAATAGTTATACAAATTTATAAAAATAATTACACATAGTATTAATACAGTAGTATACTATCTAAATTATATACAGTATAATATATAAACATGGTTAAAAAATAATATATCATTGTAATTAAAATTTTATTCATAATCAATTATCGAAATATAAATTATACAAAGTATTTTAATATTAATAGAGTTATATTAAATGAAATGAAATTAATTTTTATTTATTTATAACTTATTTTCTTATAATATATTGTATATAATATTTTTTTACTTATTTACTAAAGTAAGGCAGGGTCATTTATTACTTATATTTAAATTTGTTACTGAGTTAGTCATCAAATATTAAAGTAATTTCAATTGGATATTAATATATTTTTATTTCTATTTTGAAAATAAATATACAATGTTTGAAATAAGTTTAGACTATCAGAAAATATGTGAACTTAATTAATTAAAATTAAATTTATTTTCAAAAATATTTACACTTAGAACTGGTGTTTGATTAAATATAATTAATTAATTAACTTTGTTTATAAGTTACACGTTGCTCATGAAAACACGTTTTTAATTTAAAATTTTAAATAAAATTTTTACACTATGTTAACAATGCTCAAATATCTAATAATAATTACTAGTTCAATTTATGCCCTCATCAATATTTATAATAAACATGAATTCAAAATTTTATTTTTACAAAATTGTTAATTTTAATTTTCTATATTAATAGTAATTAAATATTTTATATGTTATGCTATTTATATTTGAATAATTATTTTTATTAATTTAAAATATTTTTATACTAGTTTCATAAGGATTCATTTATGACTTGGTCACTTTGGAAAAGTATCCAGAAAACTTTGGCTAAACCAATATGACTATCTAATGTAAGTTACCGTAATTAATTTCCTTGGTAAATGTCTGTTGTTAAATAATCTGGATATATTGGTTTCATTATAATGACATTTACCAGTTTATAAATATTAAATTTATACCTATGTTATCGTGCAGTAAATATTGATGAGGGCATTTTGTCAATTTAAAATAATACCTTGATTAATATTTACAGTATGTTTCTTGGTGACTATCTATGATATTTATTTTGATTAGAATTTTAATTAATTTTATTAAATATGTAATACTGTACATGTATAAAATAACTTAAAAATTAAAATAATTATCCTGTTTATTGCATTAAATAATTAATATACAATAATTTTTAAATATTTTTTATGTATAAATATTATGTTATAAGTATTTATATATAAATAATTATTTGTATTAATTTATAATATCTTATTATTATCCTATAGTTAACTTCATGTATCCAGAGAGCCTTGCTAATGCATGGATATCCCAGGTTATATATCATGATTGAATTATTTGACAAATGGTTTC